CATAGGGCGGAATGATATCAAGAAGGACCTCAACAAGTAGATAAAATCCTGCACTGCTAGCCATTGGAATAAGTTAGAGGGACACCATCACTCAAAGAAGTTCCTTTCCTTCAGTGACAAAAAGTTCAATCTGCGCTCATGCTATGTAGGAAAAACTTAAATCACTATGTCGTCGGTGATACTGCAAAACGGTCTATGTCTATTAGTACCCTTGACACTTAAATGGTGTCTTACTTGCACCGGAATGCATCTGCAAATCATTACACCCTAGTAAACGAATGACAAAACTGTCTGCCTTTGCCTGATGAAGATGAACGATTGTCAGAAGCGATCAGATACAGATAACAGATCAATTAAGCACCAGAGGTAATAAGTGACATAGAACGTTTTGCAGTATCACCGACGATGTGGAGCACTGACAGGTCACTCTGCGTGCAAGAAACACATGTACATACATTAGGTTGGGTCGATTTTGTATGGGGGAAAATAAAATGCATTTGACAGTATTGTAATAGTAATTATATGATGTCTTATATCTAAGCCAATTGTTATTGGTCACGAAAGATTAATTTAAAACTTATCTTTAGCCCGCGCAATTCAAACAAAGTGTATGAATTTTGAAAATGAAACTTTGGCGTGTAATATCTATGGAATGCGTCAATTGTTATAAACAGGACGATATATCAAATTAAGGGTTATTAAATTTAGTACCTCACGTTCATTTATCATTTTTCAATATCTCTATAAGTTTTTAAGATATTAAGATAAAACTTACAAAAACTATAATTTTCCTTTATGAATTTTCAATTCTTCATTACTTCAGCCACCAAGTGAAAAATGCAAAAAAGTGAGACGCGATTTATTTCAAACGTTTTAATGTCTTCGGATGTTTATTTAATATTAAGAGGGCCATGAGTCTGGTCGCGCCGATTTGGTCAGTTTTCAAGATCGTGATGAATGAAGTCAAACATGTATTGTCAAAGATTAGGAATCGTGTGATAAGTTAATAGTAGTTTCAAGCATGATAAAGACATTACAAGGTAAATTCATTCTCTCATTTCGTCGGCCATGATTTTTTTCTGACGTTTGCCAAAATTTTAAAATCATATAAAATTGAAAATAAAAAAATTAAATTGTTCACAATTGTTGAATGAGAATGTGTGTGTGAGTTTGAGTTTTGATTTTAAAATTATATTGTTGGCGAACGTCAGACTGCCTCTCAATGGTTTTACCTTGTTATGTTTTTATCATGGTTTCAAGCATATAAGTATTTACAAACATTAACATAATACAATTAGGGTGAGAAACGCTCATTTTAAGTCTATTTATACTGTCTTGAAAATTGGTGCGGAATGGTTTCATTAGTCACCAAAGAAGCACATTTTTCGCGGTTTCTAAATTTGCCGTTATGTGAAAGTAGGGGACCAGCAATAAGTGTTTAGATATCCATAAATATTTAAGGTAATTCTATTATGTGAAAAAGTGACTGTAGGTAAATGCAATAGTCTTTATCATATCCTGGGAAATCCTTTTGAGCACTCTCCAATTGGACGATATTGCTTCGCATTCAGCTTCAACGAAAAAAGTCACTCCCTGGCACACTTTTCTGTAATCCGGTTCTTTCATTTAAAAGTTATTTATACAATTGAAGAGAAATTTAGTTAGAAAAAACTGGAGATCCACTTTATTCTTTCGATATAACTTTGGTAAATGTTACTCGATCGGTACGTAGTAATTACCAAATTGAATGCGAGACTTACTGTTACTGATTTATGATAATAATATGATGAAAATCGTTCATATTATAAACAAATTATTTTAAAATAAAAAAAAATTTTAACTACGTTTTTTTAAATTTTTCTATATTTGCAATTTTTACATGGTATGCATAAACATAAGTAAACTAATTAGTGTTTCTAGAAGTTATGCCTGTTCAGTGTTTCCATACACAATTGCATAAACCAAATTTTTCTACGATGATGGAAAATAATGGCTTTTTTATTAGAGCTACCGAAACTGTTCCTATATTTGCAAAAATTCGTAAACTATAGCTAATATTAAGCAAAGATTAGAATATTTGGAACCAGCGACCTAAATGCACGCCAGCAGTATTAATACTGTTCTTTACATCTTTTGACTATATGCAGGGCAATTCTCAAGAGAAAAATTTTAATAATAATAACTTTGAGATTAACGATAAGCTAAAAGGCTGCGATAAATGATATTTGTTTATATATTTTGCGTTAACGGATTCATTATCTAATAATATGCACCAATATGCTGAACCCAGAATTTTTAACAAGGTCGGTCTTATTCGACTAGTGTGCTGTGGGTCACTTGGCGGTCGATGCGCGGGCTCTTACAA